TTCTTCACCCAAAGGGTTGTGAATCTGTGGAATTCCCTGCCCAGGGAAGCAGTTGAGGCCACCTTGTTGAATGTTTTTAAGGCGACGATGGATGGATTTTAGAACAGTAAAGAATTAAGGTTTATGGTGAGTGGGTGGGTTAGTGGAGCTGAAGAAAGATCAGCCATGATCTTAATGAATGGCGGAGCAGGCTCGATGGGCCAGATGGCCTACTCCTGCTCCTTCTGCTTATGCTCTTATGTACCTGGAAAAGATTTGCATCTTTTAAGAGATGTGGAAGCTGGGTGGAACCCTGATTGGTGATCCAAGCATGGGAGAATGGGCAGAGAGGCTGAGGAGCTGACATAAGGCTCAAGGATTTACACAGGAGAGGGGCATTGGAGATGTGACAACAGTTAAAGGAACGGAAAGCGATGTGGGTTCAAGGCAGGGGCACAAAAACCTCACCCTCAGAGGGAGGAGGGAAGGAACAGTTTAAGGAACTGGTTGGTTGAGGAGAAAAGACACCAGCACTTATTGATGATCATGTTGTGGATAAAGGAGAGTGAAACCCAATAGTGTTTGAAAGAGATTGAGCCAGATTGGTGCTTCAACCCTGGTATGTGGCAAATTCCCTCCATATTAAAACACAAGTGTACAATATTAATGGTATATTAGGATAGTGTGTAAGGGCTCCTGTAGCACAGTGATAGTGTCTCTACCATGCAGTCTGGGTTCAAGTCCCATCCATATTGAGGAATATTGTTTAATTATACATATGGGAGGAGTTGGGGGGCTGGTCTGATCAAATGAGATGAAGATAAACACTAACAGAAGAACCAAATAGCCCACTGTTTCTGCTCTGGCACATTCCACAATTTTCGTAAACCACTGTCATTGAATCTTTGGCCACTTCAACTCAAAGAATCAAACTCAGGGATGGATTGAGAGTGCAGGATTTGTTATGTGTGAGGTGCTGTAGATCAGTGAGTGTTTCAATAGTACTCTGACTCCAGAAAAGAACACCCTCAGTAATACATCTGCTGTGTATCAATATAGAAACTCACTTTCCACACATATAACACACTAATAGCTCTCGTTTTATTCTTCAACCATTATCAAGATTCACAAAGCTGGATTTTAACAGCAGCAATGTTAAAAAAAACAGAGTTTAACAATGTCAGCTGAGTCATCACTTCTGCAAGGAACTTGGTGTGCGATGGGGAAAACTATGTTTATTAATCTTCTCATCAATCCGATTATTAATTAAGAGATCAAACATTGCACCAAATCGCAGTGATTCATTTGTGTTGTAGCAATTTGGACTCCCAGGTAGACAGGGCGGTGAAGAAGGTGTTTGGTACACTTGCCTTTATTGGTCAGTGCATTGAGTATAGGAGTTGGGAGGGTCATGTTGTGGCTGTACAGGACATTGGTTAGGGCCACTTTTGGAATACTGCGTTCAGTTCTGGTGTCCCTGTTATAGGAAGGATGTTGTGAAACTTGAAAGGGTTCAGAAAAGATTTACAGGGATATTGCCAGAGTTAGAGGGGTTGAGCTATAGGGAGAAGCTGAATAGACTAGGGCTATTTTCCCTGGAGAGTTGGGGGCTGAGGGGTAACCTTATAGAGGTTTATAAAATCATGAGGGTCATCAATAGGGTGAATAGCCAAGGTCTTTTCCCCAGGGTGGGGGGACTCCATAACTAGAGGGGCATAAGTTGAAGGTGAGAGGGGAAAGATTTAAAAGGGACCTAAGGGGCAACTTTTTCACACAGAGGGTGGTGTGTGTATGGAATGAGCTGCCAGAGGAAGTGGTGGAGGCTGGCACAATTACAACAGTTAAAAGGCATCTGGATGGGTGTATGAATAGGAACGGTTTAGAGGGATATGGGCCAAATGCTGGCAAATGGGACTAGATTTATTTAGGATACCTGGTTGGCACGGACGAATTAGACCAAAGGGTCTAATCCTGTGCTGTACATCTCAATGACTCCAAGTGCTCTCTGGAATACATCCAACTTTTTTTTTTACTTGCTGCCTGTTTCAGGATTCTCAGTTCCCTTTAAATCTGAGCTGAGCAATGGTCACATAATCAGAATTCAAGCCTAGGAGTCTTTCATACATGCAGTATAGCTCCCTCTGACACCATTCCAGTGAGTTAATGGCTATAAAAGAACAGAAGTACACTATCGAATATACCGAATACTGGGAGCACTAGTGACCTCAGGACAGCAAACTCTTTTTAAAATGACTCATTCCAAAAATCAAAATTGGTCATGTGTCTAAAGCAATCGGGGGGTAAATCGTCAGCCTCAATGGTGCCCCCTGTTGGCGTTTCGGGACCAGCTGGTCACTTACACAGCAGCTGATGTTCGGGGAGGCGATGGCCCAGTGGTATTATTGCTGGGCTGTTAATCTGGAGACCCAGATAACATTGTAGGGACCTGAATTCAAATCCTGCCACGACAGATGATGGAATTTGAATTCAATAAAAAAAATATGGAAATAAGAATCTATAGAAGACTGAATTCATTGCTGATTGTCAGGGGGGAAAGCCCATCCGGTTCACTAATGTCCTTTAGGGAAGGAAACTGCCATCCTTACCTGGTCTGGCCTACATGTGACTCCAGACCCACAGCAATGTGGTTCACTCTTAACTGCCCTCTGGGCAATTAGGGATGGGCAATAAATGCTGGTCCAACTATATCCCATGAATGAATATCAAAAAAACTGATGTAGTTCCTTTGCTGTCAATGTAATTGAGCACTGTGTAAAACAAGCAGATGATTGAATATTGCATGTTCTATACTACCAGACAAATTTCAACCTGACTTTTTGTTATTGGAGGTAGCAGTTGTTTTATTTGTTGCATTTTCATTGTTATTCCCTCTCCCTTTTGTAAGCAGAATGCTCCTTCCCTACACCCTTCAGACCAGAAATGATGGAGTCCAGCCATGAATGCTCCATGGCCAGTTTGTAGAGGACAGAAGGATTCCAACAAACTTCAATAAGACGACCCAAATCCTGCCATCGCTCATCATGAATCATTTGATAACAACTTAATTACTGTTGTCAAATAATACAATGCACTTTTTATAGCAAGGGGCTGGTTTTGTGAAGAATTGTCTCTCGCACTATAATTTAAAATATAAATAATTGGTAAAATGGAATGTTTAGATGGAGATTATTGTGGGATTTCATCCAGAGCTGTTAAAGGGAGTGACTTGTGTGACACAGGTGGAGTTCTTTTTGTCTGCAGTCTGCAAGTTTTGGTACTGTGCTTCTTCGCTTAAAATAGATTATTTTAATAAAGATTCCACCCTTGAAATGCATTCTGTAACTGCATGCTGCATTTTATTCTTTTGGCACGTTGCAACTTATTTCAGAATAAAGCTCTGCAGGACAATACAGATCAGTCAGTGACAATAGCAGCAGCAAGGATAGTATTTACCTTACACACCCAAACAACCAGAACGACAAATAAGTCACACCAGGGTCACAACAGAATCTAACTCACCTACACAGCCTGTACTAAACACCAGAAGTATCCATCAGTGTCTGCCTTTTGTGGATATGTCGTGGGGTTGGGGGATTAACTTGTGGAGCAGCAGTTTTATTCGTACATGGGATATGGGCGTCACTGGCTAGGCCTGCATGAGTTGAGAAAGGGTCCATTTTTCCACTCACAGTGCGTGACTCTAAATTACTATGCAGCCAGAAAAAAATGATTGCTTCAATTTATCAAGACGATCAATGGAAACTGACTTTTTCCTCACAGCCATGTAGAAAACATTTGGAATTGTCAGTGTTTGGCTGGATTGGAAGTGATGGGGAAAGAAGGCAGTGAAGAAGGTGTTTGGTACGCTTGCCTTTATGGGTCAGTGCATTGAGTATAGGAGTTGGGAGGGTCATGTTGTAGCTGTACAGGACATTGGTTCGGCCACTTTTGGAATACTGCATTCATTTATGGTCTCCCTGCTATAGGAAGGATGTTGTGAAACTTGAAAGAGTTCAGAAAAGATTTACAGGGATGTTGCCAGGGTTGGAGGGTTTGAGCTACAGGGAGAGGCTGGATAGGCTGGGACTATTTTCCCAGGAGTGTTGGAGGCTGAGGGGTAACCTTATAGAGGTTTATAAAATCATGAGGGGCATGGATAGGGTGAATAGCCAAGGTCTTTTCCCCAGGGTAGGGGAGTCCAAAAGTAGAGGGGCATAGGTTTAAGGTGAGAGGGAAAAGATTTAAAAGGGACCTAAGGGGCAACTTTTTCACACAGAGGGTGGTGCGTGTATGGAATGAGCTGCCAGAGGAAGTGGTGGAGGCTGGTACAATTACAGCATTTAAAAGGCATCTGGATGAGTATATGAATAGGAAGGGTTTGGAGGGATATGGGCCAAATGCTGGCAAATGGGACTAGATTAATTTAGGATACCTGATCAGCATAGATGAGTTGGACCGAAGGGTCTGTTTCCATGCTGGACATCTTTATGACTCTGAGGCTTGATGACTGGTTGAAATGTATATTCTATACAATGAGGAAGATAAAACATCTAAAAGTAACAGTAGCCGTGAGGCTGATTGGCATGGGAAAGGTAACATTCTGTGGGTGATATACTTGAAGTCACAAGAACTGTTGTGGATTTGTTACTTTCTGGTTAAGTTAACAGCAGCAGTTGAAGTAGCAGAGCACGGGTAGGCACACCATTAGGGGACAGTTTGCAGCAAGTAAATGCAATACTGATCTGCAGAGTGGCATAGGCACAGGGAAGAGTGATCATAACAATTACATCCTGCAGTTATAGCACTGAATTAATAAAAAGCCAAGTTGGAGTATTTATTTGGAGTGGGCACAGGAGTTCACAAAAAGCAAGGTATAAGCTTTAGGTAGAAATGAGGCAGCTCCTGGATTGTTTCCTGGTCTTGATCACACATTTCTCTGTCATTCCCTTGGCTAATGATAAAGATTGTCACTGAATTTGCCAAACCAGTGTCAGTGAATCCACATAGGCTTCAAACACAAATGCAAATCTACTGTCAATTTAATTCTCAGTTGTACAGAACAGAGTTAGGAGCTGATTTGGAAAGGTGCGCACTTTGGTAGATGCAGCCATCGCTTTCTGGGAATGGTCCGGATTCCTTCGAAGGTTAAATGGACCTGCAGGCCCTAAAGACAGATCAAAGGCTCGTTAATCGATCTTCATTCACTGTTTAACCCCCATGAGAAATCAAGCCTGACTCTGTTCCCTTCTGAAATTCGACACGGAGAAAAGAACACAGGGCAACATGCACTGGTAAACGTTGGGCACAGTTGCTAGACATGGGTTCAAGACCCGTGTCAGATCTGTAGCTGCTTTCAACTTAAATGAGAAAGCAAAATTGCAAGCCAGCTCACACCCTGGGCTGACTCCTACTGGCCAGTCTAGGAGTATCTCTGATGGAAGCTGGGGAGGAGCTGCACCGTTGGGAGGGCTTTCCCTCAAGGAAGTGGCCTAAATGAGCGAAAATAACTGTTGATGTACAACGATAAAAAAGAAAAATACTGCAGAGGCTTGAATTTGACACCAGAAACACAAGAATGCTGAAAATAAAAACTGGACAGCTTAGGGAGCATCCATGGAGACAGGAACAGAGTTCATGTTTTACCTCCATGACTTCAATTCTGATGAAGGGTCACCAGACTCAAAATGTTATTTCTGTTTCTTTTCTCTCCACTGATGCTGCCAGGCCTAGAATGCTAGTGTGGAAGCAGGCCATCAAATCCACACCAACCCTCTGAAGAGCATCCCACCCCATCCCTATAACCCTACATTTCCTATGGTTAACCCACTTAGCTTGCACATCCCTCGACAATTTAGCACAGTCAATCAACCTACCCTGCACATCTTTGGACTGTGGGAGGAAACCCACACAGACACGGGGAGAATGTGCAAACCCCACACAGACAGTTGCTCAAGAGTGGAATCAAACCCAGGCCCCTGGCACTGTGAGACAGCAGTACTAGCCGTTGTGCCACCCTTTAACTTCTCCAGCAGTTACAGCTTTTACAATCACAATCACAATCTGCACATTGACACTTTTACTGCAACATTTGAAAGATGTAAAATAATTACCTCAGTTTGCACTTGATAGGAACAGTGAATCCTTTTTTCTCAGGAGCACCTTTATTTAGAGTAGCTGATGTATCTGTTTAAATGTGATATTTGAAATCATTAATTCACTTTTTCTCTCATTGTTTTTCTCAGCTGAAGCTCAGTAGTAGCACCATCTGAACCTGTAAATTCACAATCTCATTGATGGTACACATAATCTAGGCTGACACTCCCAGTGTAGTACCTAAGGGGGTGCTGGACTGTCAGAGATGCCTTCTATCAGTGAGATGTTAAACTGAGGCCTGGTCTAATAGCTTGGCAGATCCTCTCACACACTCTGAAAAGGGTCCCAGCCAGCAATCAAAACAAAATAAGTTAACTCTCATTAGTGCTTGTGCGAGCTTGCTCTGCGCAAAATGGCTGCTGCTGCCCTTCGAAGTAGCTCATTGCAGGCAAAGGAACTTCAGATTATTTTTTTTATTATTGCGGGCTTATCAGCAAGTGATCCACAAATATAAGTCTTTTAACTGGCTGTTGCAAACTCTAGTGATCTAATGTTTGCATTAAAGTATAGCACAGAGAGCTTTAGCTTTGCTTAGGCTAGCAACAGTTGCACCGGTTGGCATTTCTCCTTGGAAAGACCTTGTCAGATGTTTTCACACACAGGAAACGCCAAAGTGTGACAGATTGAATTAGGTTAGTTCATACAGTTACACCCGTTCTAAACATTAACAGTTAGTACAATAACAGCAATGCAAAAGGAAAAGACTTTGTTGTATAGCTAAGTTGAAAAACAAATTCGAAAAGATATCCAGTCCACCTCCCAAATTGTGCTTCCGACATTTGTCAACACAGCACAGAGTTTGAGAACAATTATGACACAGTTGGAAGCCATTCAGCCCATTGAACGTATGCTAGCTCACCTAGAGTGAACCAGTCAAGCCTGCTCTATCCCTATGGCCCTGCAAATTTATTTCCATTAGTCTCTATCCAATTTCCTTTTGAAATCATTCATTGCTCCCCCCGATCTCTCCCCCGCCACCACCCCCCCACCACTGACAGGCAACAAGATCCAGTTCATTACCACTCTCTGTTCCTAAATGTTCTTCCCCACACTACCTCCTGTAGTTCTTCAAGCTGTCTCCCCCTATTTCTCGCACCATCAGTTAATGGGAACAGTTTCTCTTTGTCTACCTTATCTAAACTTATTGTAATCTTGTCTACCTCGATCTAATCTCCTTTGTTCCAAGGAAACCAATCCCAGCTTCTCCCGCTCTAACCTTGTCACTAAAACTCCCTATCACTGGAACCATTCAGATAAATCCCTTCTGCCCCCTCTCGAGTATCAGCCACCTCCTTCCTAAAGGCTGGGGACCAGGACTGGACACAGTGCTCTCACTGGGGCCTACCCAGAGCTTTATAAAGGTTCAGCCTCACTTTCTTACTCAAGACCTTTTTTTCTGAAGACCAAGATCCCATATCCGTTGCTAACCACTCTCTCAATATGTCCTGTCACCTTCAAAGATCTCTGCACATACATCCACAAGTCCCTTTGTTACTGTACACTCTTCAGAACTGTGTCATTAAGTCTATATTACATGTCCCTATCTCCTTGGTCAAAATGCACCACCTCACATCTTCTCTATTCTGTTACAATCCTGTTTGGGACCATTAAACTTTACGGAAGAAATCTGAACATCCAGCAGTTAAGTGACAGAACTTTGCTACAAAGATTTCACATTTATAACATATATATTATTTGGTTCTAAATAATGAAGAGAAATTAAACAAATCAAGAAGCACCCCTAATTTATTACTATAGCTTATAAAGACATATGTTACAAGATCTCTCACTATTTTATACACACACACACGCACACACATGCACACACACACATATACAACACACACATGCGCATACACACATGTGCACGTGCACACACACACACACACACACGCACACGAGCACGTGCACACACATTCTCACACACGTACACTCAGGCACAGAGAAGCAAATGCGCACAAACTCACACACAGAAACACACAGACAGGGTTCAAATCAAGTGGTATACCACCGCTCTCTGGCATTCACATTCATTTCTCTTCAGTGCTCCAGCTAATCACTAACATACAATGTTCTACAGGGGATGCTTCTGTTAGTTTTTCGCTAAGCCACCCTCCAAATTTCCTTTCAAGCCTCACGCCTCTGGATGGCACAGGTCAGGCACCAACCTCACTGTGATGGCTGTGCAGTGGCTTAAAGCATCAGACAACACCCTCGGTTTCCAACAGCTCATTGCAATGGTTTAATGGATTGCTTCCAGAACTCCAACTGCAACAAGAAATACCTGCCTTTCATTGAGACGATTAATGCTATAAATCTTGGAGTGGAACTTCCTCTTTCCAACTTTGTCTTAGACTGAAAACCGGCTTCCAACCGTAGGCTGCACGTGGACAATTTATTTACTTGCAGAGCTGGTTTCATCTCTCGATTTCCAAAACATTATAATCTACATAAGATCTAAACCAACAGTCTCCTCATTATTTTTCAAACATCTTCTTAGGTGCTTCTGTCAACCAAACGTTCTGAAGGTTATCTGAATTCTGCCAACCTAAATCCTGTTGCAAATGACTGGTGTCATCCTCATTGGTACCAATCTGGGAAGGATGACAAACATTGGCACATTTTACTCTGTTTTCCAATATCCAAGTCATTCATGTATGTCAAAAAAGCCAAGGTCCTAGCACTAGCTCTTGGGCAACCCCACTGCCTACCATCCTCTGGTCTGAGGAACATACATTTTACCGTGACTCGCTGCTTTCAGTCTTAAGCTGATGTAGAATCCCTACAGTGTGGAAAGATACCATCTGGCCCATCAAGGCTACACTGACCCTCCAAAGAGGTCCCACCCCACATTCCCCATGGCCAATCCACCCTAACCTGCACACCTTTGGACTGTGGGAGGAAAACAGAACACCCAGAGGAAACCCACATGGACATAGGGAGAATGTGCAAACTCCACACAGACAGTTGCCTGAAGGTGGAATTGAACCTGGGTCCCTAGCACTGTGAGGTAACAGTGCTAACCACTGAGCCACTGACCCTTTGATTCCATCAGCCTCCCTTCTGTTAACCAGCCTTTTATGTGGTGCATTGTGAAATATTTTCTTAAAATGCCTATGTGGGAACTGGTGAGGCAGTGGTAATATCACTGGACTGGTAATCTAAAACCCCAGGCTCACGTTGTGCATTCAAACCCCACACTAGCAGATGGTGAAATTTGAATTCCATTTCTAAAAAAAAAATCTGGAATTAAAAACTGGCCTAATAGTAACCATTGTTGTTTTTTAAAAAAAAACACCTGATTCACTAATGTCCTTTAGGGAGGGTAATCTGCCCTCCTTACCTAGTCTGGGCCTACATGTGGCTCCAGACCCACAGCCTATGTGGTTGACTATTAACTATCCTTTAGGCAGTTCATGTAAATCACTTTTCTATTCCCATATCGCTCTTTAGCCAGTCTTATTTTCCTCTTCACCTCTCCTCAACCTATTGTATTTGACCTTGTTCTCTGTCTTAAAGACTTCACATGACCATCATTATACAGCCTCCTTTTTCTGTTCCATCATTTTCCCATATTCTCTGTCTCCCTCATCACCCAAGGAGCCCTGACCTTGGTTTCCTGTGTCTTTCTTTCTTCTTGGAATGCACCTAGCTTATAGCTGAAAGATCTTCCCTTGAAAGATCTACTATTATTTCATTAGTTTTTTTTCCTTTCACCTTTTGGTTCCATTTTGCCTTGGCTAGGCACACTTTCATCTAGTTGAAGCAAGGCATTTCCCTTGTTTCAGAGGACTTTTTTCTCCATGACTAACTTAAACCTTGCAATACAATGATCCCCAAATGGAGACTTCGTCCACTTGACCCACCAGATCCAACAATTCCTCCTTCCTTGTTGGACTAAGAACTTACTGATCAAGGTAGTGTTGTCGAACAGAGAGACCTAGGGGTTCAGGTACATAATTCTTTGAAGTTTGCGTCACATGTAGGCAGGGTGATTAAGTAGGCATTTAACACGCTTGCCTTCATTGCTCAGTCCTTTGAGTTTAGGAGTTGGGACATTATGTTGAGGTTGTACAGGATGTTGGTGAGGCCTCTTCTGGAGTACAGTGTGTAGTTCTGGTCACCCTGTTATAGGAAGGATATTATTAAGCTGGAGAGGGTTCAGAAGAGATTTACCAGAATGTTGCTGGGAATGGAGAGTTTGAGTTATAAGGAGAGGCTGGATAGGCTGGGACTTTTTTCACTGAAGCATAGGATGTTAGGGGTGACCTTTCAGAGGTTTATAAAATCATGAGGGGTATAGATAAGGTGAGTGGCAGGTATCTTTTCCCTAGGGTGGGGGAGTTCAAGACTAGGGGACATATTTTTAAGGTGAGAGGAGAAAGATTTAAAGAAGACATGAGGGGCAACTTTTTTTTACACAGAGAGTGGTTCATGTGTGGAATGAACACACAGAGGAAGTGGTGGATGTGAGTACAGTTACAACATTTAAAAGACATTTAGATAAGGTCATGAATAGGAAAGGCTTGGATGGATACAGGCCAAGTGCAGGCAGGTGGGGCTAGTTTAGTTTGGGATTATTGTCGGTACGGACTGGTTAGACCAAAGGGTCTGTTTCTGTGCTGTATGACTCTATGGTAGCTTTGGCAGATAGGGTTAGGAACTCAAGATCAACCATCCCTTTGACTGTTTAACTGTTGTTCTCTCTCTGGGCTCTGTCTCCATTTCTCCACTCATTTCTTTTCCCCCTCTAGCCCTGTCATCAGCATGGATACCACCTTTTCCTAGCTTCTTTCAGCTCTGAAGAAGGGTCACTAGACCCGAAACATTAACTCTACTTTCTGTCCACAGATGCTGCCAGACCTGTTGAGTTTCTCCAGCAATTTCTGTTTTCAGTATCAATGAGATCTACCTCGTTATTAAGAGGCAAGGTTATTTGCTCACTGACCAGGTCCTGCAGAATCTGGGGTCGAGCTGGGGCACGGTTTGACATTTCTCCCTGTGGCACTGCTGGAAGGGGTCTGTGCATTGAAGGCAGAACGTGACTCCTCAAAATTCCTGACAAGAAACAGCCAACCCACCACATCACTTACCTCAGGTCATCCGAGACTTTGGAAATCCAGGGATGCACTTCCATCAGCCACCACAGCCTCTTTCGTGGCGCTGCTGAGCCAGCAGTTCTCACTGGGTGAGACGTCCAGCCTCAGGGTCTTGCCAATGCCTGATTGGCATGTGATTGATTGGCATGTGAATCTTCTCTCAGAACAGGCAGCACCAGTCTCACATCCCAGTTCTCTAGCTGACTGATGAGATCGCTCTCCCAACCCCACCCCCGACTTCCTCCCCACCTCTTCCCGATGCCTCAGTAAGAATTGGCCAATGAGTGAATCATATGTGGGGATGGCATATATTTTGTTTCATCTAACTATCCTCCGCTGACTCCATTTTGCTGGAGAAATAATCCTGCGGTTACCAGGAGACTTAGCTATAAGTGCCATCCCATCTCCCACTCATTGGCACTGTAGCACTGGCCAAAGCCAACTCTTTATAAAGCCCTCCCAAAGATTCTTCACATCTTAACACAACTGCCAAGAAGCCTAAAGGTTAAAGAGAATAAGTAACAACGAGATTCATCCTCACCAAACTCCATGTTCCGTCTTCCCATCAGACCAACAAAGAAATCATTCATGTCCCCTGCAGAAAGAGAAAATGTCATCCTTTTAATCATCCATTGCTTTCACTCATTGATTAGGTTTCTCAGCTCCAGGTACCTTCTGTTCTGTTCAGTGCTGTCATAGGTTGTCCACTGTTCTCTTTGTGTGAGGTTCAAGGTTTGGAGTGGCTAAATCTAAATGTAGCACACTGGGATCTGTCTGAAAGACAGAGCACTCCAAATTAACAGGAGTGTGGGTCTAATCTTTCATGGGGCTTCCTTAGACGCCATATTCATGCACCTATACAGCTGAGGATAACTTCTTAGACACCCCTGCCTAGTGTTTCTTCCTCTCCCATCCCGACACCCCAGTATTCCTCCCTTATTCCCCTGATGGTGACCCACGCTGGGTGGCATTGGTTGGTGTAATCTTGCCCATACATCAAGCCAGGGAAGGAAATCTGCTGTACTTACCCAGGTCTGGGCCTACACGTGACTCCAGACCCCACAAACAATGACTCTTAACTGCCCTCAGAAATGGTCAAGCAAACTACTCCAGTTGTGCCAAGACGTCAACTGAGAAGAAAACTGGGTATCACTTGGCATCATCCGAGGCACCAGCACACCCAACCCAACTTTCTTTATTCATTCATGAGATGAGGGTGTCGCTGGCTAGGCCAGCATTTATTGCCCATCCCTAATTGCCCAGAGGGCAGTTAAGAGTCAACCACATTGCTGTGGGTCTGGAGCCACACGTAGGCCAGACTAGGTAAGGATGGCAGTTTCCCTTCCCTAAAGGATATTAGTGAACTAGATGGGTTTTTCCAACAATCAACAATGGATTCATGATCATCATTAGATTCTTAATTCCAGATATTTACTGAATTCAAATTTCACCATCTGCCGTGGTGGGAGTTGAACTCAGGTCCCCAGAACATTATGTAAGTCTCTGGATTAACGTCCAGCAATAAAATCACTAGGCCATCACCTCCCCCTGAGTCCTGCCAAAGTCATGGGACCTGTGCCACTGACAAGTTGAGCAGCAGCTGGATATAACCCTATCTTACAGGCAAAATCCCAGACAACCTCTCCTAGCAGGGCACGCCCAGCAGGGTTGTGGCCCAGTGGTATAGTCAGGAGGAAGTCTTCAAAATTGACTCCCAACCTCATAGCATCAGGCCACACATGGGCAAGGAAACCTCCTGCTGATTACCATGTATCGTCCTCCCTCAGCTGATGAATCAGTACTCCTCAATGTTGAACAACACTTACAGGAAGCGTTGAGGATGGCAAGGGCACAAAACGTACTCTGGGTGGGGGATTTCAATGTCCAACACCAAGAGTAGCTCAACAGCAGGACTATTGATCGAGCTGGTCAGGTCCTAAAGGACATAGCTGCTAGACTGGGTCTGCGGCAGGTGGTGAGGGAACAAGAGGGGAAAACATACTTGACCTCATCCTTACCAATCTGCCAGCTGCAGTTGCATCTGTCCATGACAGTATCGGTAAGAGTGACCATCGCACAGTCCTAGTGGTGACGAAGTCCTGCCTTCACACTGAGAATAACTTCCATCGTGTTGTGTGGCACTATCACTGTGCTCAATGGGACAGACTTCGCACAGATCTAGCAACTCAACTGGGCATCCATGAGGTGCTATGGGCCATCAACAGCAGCAGAATTGTATTCTGTAACCTCATGACCTGGCATCTTCCTCATCGGTCATGCCAGGAACAGCAGTTGGCATAAGTGGTGAAGCTACTAGACAGGACTGCCTGGATGATAAATGGTGTTAGCAGAGATATACAGAACTAAGCGATCCCACAACCAATGGATCAGATCTAAGCTCTGCAGTCCTGCCACATCCAGTTGTGAATGGTGGTGGACAATTAAACAACTCACTGGAGGAGGAGGCTCCACAAATATCCCCATCCTCAATGATGGAAGAGCCCAGCACATCAGTGCAAAAGATAAGGCTGAAGCATTTGCAGCAATCTTCAGCCAGAAATACCGAGCAGATGATCCATCTCGGCCTCCTCCATTGGTCCCCAACTTTACAGATACCAGTCTTCAGCCAATTCGATTCACTCCATGTGATATCAAGAAACAGTTAGAGACACCGGATACTGCAAAGGCTACGGGCCCTGACAACATTCTGGCAATAATACAGAAGACTTGTGCTCCAGAACTTACCGCTTCCCCTAGCCAAGCTGTTCCAGTACAGTTACAACCCTGGCATCTACCCGGCAATGTGGAAAATTGCCCAAGTATGTTCTAACCCGGCCAATTACCATCCCATCAGACTCTTCTCGATCATCAGTAAAGTGATGGAAGGTGTCAGTAACAGCGCTATCAAGCAGCACTTGCTCAGCAATAACCTGCTCAGTGATGCCCAGTTTGGGTTCCCACTCAGAATTACAGAGTAGAAGAAGGCCATTCAGCCCGTTGACCTTGCACTGGCTCTGAACATTTTAATTTAGTGCTAATCTTCTGCCTTTCCCTCTAACCCGCACATTGTTTCTATCCCAATAACCATCCAGTGCTTCTCTTGAATGCCTGAGTTAAGCCTGCCTCCACCATATTTCCAGACAGTGCATTCCACACCCTAACCACTTGCTGTGCGGAAGAAGCTTATTTTTCACCTCACATCTGCTTATTTTGCAAAATACTTTCAATCTGTGCCCTCTCGATCTTTTTATGAGCAGGAACAGATGTTCCCAATCTACTCCATCCAGCCCACACTCATGATTGTGAAAACCCCTATCAGATCTCCCTCTCAGCCTTCTTCTCTCCAGGGAGAACAGTTCCAACTTCTTCAATCTGTCCTCATCGCTGAGGCTTCTCATCCCTGGAAACATTCTTGTAAATTGCTTCTGCACTCTATCTCCAATTCATTCACATCTTCCCTGTAATGTGGTGCCCACAACTGGATACAATACTCCAGCTGAGGTTTAATAAGCCTCTTGTAAAAATTTAACATCATCTCCCTGCTCTTATACTCTATGTCCCTATTAATAAAGCTGAGAATACTGTGTGTTTTATTAACTGCTCTCTTCCCCCTGTCATTCCACCTTTAATGATCCTTGCACATAGATCCCCAGCTCCTCCACCTCCTTTAGAATCATATCCCCTGTATTTTATCTTGTCTTTCATCGTTCTTCCAGCGAAAGCATATCACCTCAGTCTTCTCTACATCTTTTTTTCCAACTTGTGGGACATTGGCGTCACTGGCTGGTCAGAATTTGTTGCGCATCCCTTGCTGCCCTTGAACTGAGTGGCTTGCTTGGCCAATTTCGAGGGCAATGGAGAGTCAAAGCCCACATTGCTATGGGTCTGGAGTCGCATGTAGGCCAGACCAGGTAAGGACAGCAGATTTCCCTTCCTAAAAGGGCATAAGTGTGCCAGATGGGTTTTTCCCAGCAATGGTTTCATGGTCATCATTAGATTCTTAATTCCAGATTTTTTTTTTTGCTTTTTTTTTCTTAATTTCAAATTCCACCATCTGCCATTGCAGGATTTGAACCTGGGACCCCTGAACATTTCTGAATTAATAGCCTAGTGATAATGCCACAAGGACATCACCTCCCCATTGAACCTTATGTGCCACCCATCTACCCACTCCACCAACTGGACAAAGTTTAGACTTGGACTGATAAGTAGCAATTAACATTAACATTAACATACATGTGCCAGGCAAAGACCATCTCCAACAAGAGAGCATTTAACTATACCCCCTTGATGACATTACCATCCCCGAATCCCTCACTATCAATATCCTGGGAGTAACCATTGACTAGAAACTCACCTGGGCTCACCACATAAACACAGTAGCCACACGAGTAGTTCAGAGTCTAGGAATATTGCAGTGAGTAACTCACCTCCTGACTCCCCAAAGAACTGTGCATCATCTACAAGGCACAAGTCAGGAGTGTGATGGAATACTCCCCACTTGCCTGGATGGGTGCAGCCCCAACAACACTTAAGAAGCTTGGCACCATCCAGGACAAAGCAGCTCCCGCTTGATTGGTACCACATCCACAAACATCCACTCCCCCCACCACTGACGCTCAGTAGCAGCAGTGTGTACCATCTACAAGATACACTGCAGAAATTCACCAAAGATCCTCAGACAGCACCTTCCAAACCCACGACCACTTCCTACAGATATAAGGGAACACACCAGCTTCACATTCCCCTCCAAGCCACTCACCATCCTGACTTGGAAATATA